TTTCCTTCGCTCTCTTTTGTATAAGCAACGTGTCTCCCGACGATAACAACGATGACCGGCGCATTCGTTCAATATTCGACATTGACGAGACAGCTTCCGTTGTGTCGGATGTTATCGAGTGCTGTTTGATACGGACGTTTTCGAAAAGTCGCGACGCTTTCGAAAAGCATCGTTAAAGGGCGATCTGGGTCAAATGCTTCTTGCCATACACAGGCGCGTGTGTACCGGAAGCGACGCGTAGAAATCCGCAAACTCGTGTTTCTCGCAAGCGCGTTTGAGCGAAAGCTCTCGGCCGTCGACCGCAACGCGTACTCAAAACGTAATGCATAGGCGAACTCGTGGGCACAGTGTGTGCCGGGCGTGTGTGTATGCGTTTGCGCACTCATGGACGAGCTGTAATTCGATTATTAATTTAATAATCAATCATCGACCAGGTACCAATCGCATTAGTGACGCCCTGTTAAATTACGCGGATCCCTCGACCGCACGATAAAACGGTGAGAAACGAGCTTTTTATTTTTCGTATTGGATTAGATACAGTACGTTGCACGTGCGATATTTACGGATACGGGAATTAAATATTTTGCCTCTAAAAGAGCTAGAGAGCGCACGTAGTGCGTCGAATTTAAGGAGATCTGTGGCCCGGAAAATTTACAAAATTGGAAACCAGACATTTGTAAAGATAAATGTGTTTTCGCCACCAAGGAAATCTCTCTATAAAATCAAAGTTCTACCAAAGTATATTGAAAATTTGTCTGATGACAAATTGGACACGTTTAGAATATCCATTGTTATGCACAATTAATGAAAGTGAAACAACACTGATAATTTATGTATTTTAACTTATATTTTGTATTTATCTATATATGTACCTCACACATATACGATATTACATTATCTATTTTCCAAACGCAAAATGCGTTCATTAAAGCTCATCGTAAGATGTAAAACTATTGTAGATCAAAATATGCCGCAGAAATGTAACGAGGGAATATCGTACTTTCAACTTGGCGAATCTTGAGCACGTCGCAAAACATTTACGTGACATGGCTGTTTCCCCTTGTCGATTATCGCTCGCGCGCCAATGTGCCAAAATGCAATGGCCATGTATATAGCCGGTATGCATGCCTGATCGGACGGAGGAGGCTTTTAAGCGAATGCGAGATCGACAGCCGAAAGTGGTGCTCCAGCGTACCGGACCCGCATCGTGACTCTCGTTTTCCCATTGTTTCTGCGAGCGACGTCGAGCACGCGGCCGAATAATAAATGCGATCTTCCCGCTTACTCTCACTCTCGCTCTTTCTCCTTCTCTCTCCACTCATAGAGATCCAGTTCGGCCGTGGACAATGGCGATCGAATGTACGAACCAAAACGGAATTCCTCCATTACCTCTCCTCTACCCTTGTCAATTACGCGTCGCGCCGCTGCCGCAGAAATGGAAAGAAAGAGAGGGAAAGATGGAGAGAGAAAGGGAGACGGAAAACTTGTCGTCTCCTCCGTCGCGATTCTTTTCCCTCGCTTATTGTTTTGTCTCGATTATGCTTCAGAAAGCCTCTCGATTAACGTGACACGAGCGTACACGCGATTATGACACGAACGCCCGGATCTTCATTAACGCGTCGGCAGCCCCTACATATCGGGGATCGCGTTTCGAGTGCTTTGCTATGACCATGCAATAATACAGCACCGCTTTCAGGAAGATACCACTCGTGGAAATCTTGTGGAAATGCGATGTTTTCTAATGTTCCGTTTATTTTAGCATAAAAATTTACAACACACAATTTATTTTATTTTAATATATTGTTATCATTTTTTTTATATTTAATTTTTATCTTCATTATATTTATTATTCCTTTTGGAATTAATTACTCATCTATTGTGATATTGGACTAAAAATATTTTACGTCAGTTTCTAAATATGTAGTTTGCTTCAACTCGAAGCGTTTTATTCGGTTCAGGATTGATACGCGACAGAACATGAAGTTCAAGGGTTCCCGAGCGACGTAACACAAGTGCACTCGTCTCGATTACTGCAATTGCTGCAATTCACGAAACGTAATTAAGTAGGTTGGACGAACAGAATGATGATCGATAGACGGCTCGCAATGCAACCGATTACGGCAATTAACGGAGACAATTTACAGAGGCAAATATGAAATTAATACTTACGCTTGTCTTTGTCATAAAACGGTCCCACGGCGCTATTAACCGCACGCAATGCACGAGAGTATAAACATATGTGTGTGTACAATACCGACCGATAATTTCGGTATCGGCTTGTCCAGGTATTATGGCTGCGATTATTAATCGTGGCCATTGTGTCGAGAAATCAGGTATTCCGACGTTAATGTCCTAAATTTTAGACCGATCGCGTATCACGAAATTGGCATGGAGTGACGATTCAAGAAAGCACGCGACAGAGAGAACGCGTTATTATATGTGCCGATTGAATTGAATTACTCTACATTATCAATCGTAATCAACATTGACAAATTTCCGGGTTTTTTTTTTTTGTAAAATACTGTCATTTTGACTAGTCTGTGTTTTAAATTTTATTTTAAAAAAGTAGAATTATTTCGGCTAGATTATTCCTTAAATTATTTTTTTAATTAAAGATTAAATTTACCGTTCTACCGGGGAATTATTTTAGATGCAGACTTCGTCTTGCTGGATTAAGGTAAGGTTCTTGGAAAGGTACCTCTTGATGCCGCGGCATCCGGAGAAGCCATCTGTCTTATTGCCGATGCGCGCCATTCGTCCCTCCTTATTCCTCGCGTGTTTACGTATGAAAATGATGCACTCCGTGGCGGACGAGCTCGGCGTATTCTGCTTCTCAAACGCATTCGACTGCACGAGGGTCCGACCGACTCGCAGGAGTGACCCACATTATGCAACCTCCCCCCCCCCCCCTTACTACGCTGTTATTATCCTTCTCCCTTTCGAAAGACTATCTTGCGAGATCATTAATCTCTTATACCTAGAAGCTGCCATCAAGAAGATTACATTTGGGAAATGTGATATCAGAATATAGGTAAAGTAAGAGAATATGGATCAGTATGCAAACAATTACTTTAAAAATAATTATCTTTCATAAAATGTTTCGAGGGAGACTATTGATTCTGTTTATCTTCAGATGTATAATTTTTTTTTTTTTTTTTTTTATTTTGACATAATATGTTACTGTATATCGGATTATATATTATCTTACAAACGATGCTTATAAAGAGTTTTTATTTTAAACTTGATATACGCATGAACGATATAATTATTAATTCTTTGAAAATCTAGAATTCGTTGATCTCTGGAAAAGAACAACTCAAAAGAGATACAAAGCTGACTAAAATAATATATGTGCATGTAGGTATGAAATAATTTATGGAAAAAAGAACAAGATAGATATGCTTCTGAAACATTAAATTATTCAATTTTAGTGCTCCTTTTCTTTCGAGCTGAAAAACTGTACATTATAAAAGGAGCCATTTTACAAATTTCGCCGTTTAAAAAATATAATGATATTTAATTTTGCCAATCTACTTAAGCACATATATGTGTTCTGTTGTGTTTTCATGTATAATTAATTATTATTCAATTTATGATTATGATATTAATGCGGATAAATAGTTCGTTCGTGTAAATAAATTTAATTCTGCATACCAAAATGTTATACGCGCTAAGCTATAGTGTGTGAAACACGAGCGATCATAGGTGAGCTAAAGCAAATCACCCTCTCCCTTTCCGTCTCTCAGATGTGTGTAATATTTGCGCACTTACGTGCATGCTCTGTATACGGAATGTTATTAAGCATGATAATAATTCGAATGGAATACCGCAACCCCTCGTAGCGACCGATCGTAGTGCGGCGATAAGAGCGAATTAATTCTGTAATGATGCTAGCTTTGCTAGGGTGATCTTACTCGCGTCACGCAGGCACACAGCAGTTATAGTTATAGTTCTTCTTATCTGTTTATAAAAAGGTGCAAGAAGCCGTTGTATGTCTTTATTTTGGCAACGGAGTCTAATTTATTGCTTTTTTCTATAATACAATTTTATCAAAATTTTTCAAATAAATGCTCGGCGAAGTGACTTTGATCCAGCTCTGCTTATATTAAACGTAAAGAAATATGTGATTGGAATTTATTCTTAAAATTTCATAGCAAAGTATATCGATAAATATATTATAATGTTATAAATATTCTTCATACATAATTTTTTTTTCACTTGACACAAATTTAAAAAATATGAAATATAAAACAATATTATTTTGTCATGCATTATTATTTTTAATAAACTTTATCTACAATTTTCTTTCTCTCTCTTGTATATACGAAAATATTATGTTGCATTTAAATACGATGGAACAACTTTTGCCATTGAACGATGATTCTTTCGGTAACATTTACGTTACTGAAGTCACTTGTACTTTAATCCGCATAAGCTCGAATCTCGCTCACTAATATCGCGAAAGAGGCGCAGCCAGATGAGACTATCGGTCGACCTCTCGTAAAAATACTGCGAGGTGAATAGCATAATCAAATATATAGCTACAGTTAGCAGGTATTACCAGTAATTTTACGTAACTGCTTTTTTATATTCGTTACGTATTATCTGCAAATGTCAGCGTTATTACAACTTGTCAATTTGTTTAATCATGATAAGTTTCAATTGACATATTAGTAATTTAGTTATCTAATTTTTTTTATCTTTATCTGTGTAAATATTTTATGTAACAACATGAAAATTAATAAATGTGTCAAAATCAAGATAATACCTTTAAATAAATCAAAATTCAATAACAAATGTTCTATTGTATATAATATATACATCAATCAAAATATACAAATATATATGTATATATATATCACATTTAATAATTTTCATGTTGTTTATTAATTTTCTTTTATCATTTGCCGATCTGTATATTATTGAGCATTTTAAATATATTTCACATAATCTGTATGATTTCAGAGATGATGACATTAAATATCCTAATATTTGTTTAGAACTCCAAAGACCCCTGTCGAGGAAACTTAATTGTTCGGCCGGTGACAAGAGCGATTTTATGAATGGCGTGACGAGTCAACGAACGGTAAGATTTTAATGAAAAACCTGCCCTAAAATCTGCTCTTTTTATCGACAAATACCAATGTTCTGAGATGACACGTTTGAACGCGATATTCTAATGGCTGACAGACAGCCGGTCTTTCTCGTGCACTTAGTCGAATGGGTTAAAACTGCGGTTATTTGCGGTGCACTCCAATCGAATTGCCTATCGTTTGCATAATCTCCTTCGTTGCCAGCCGCGTTGCATTCGTCCTCATCCGCACGCCTTTCTTTCACCGATTCTCTATTCCTGCTTAGGCGTCTTTCCTATCTTCTCGATCGCTTTCGTTTTTGCGCATCCAGGCATATCCTCCATCCAAGAAAACGACTGAGTTTCTTTGTTCGTTCCGGCGGAAAATTTAGAATCTACGATTGCATATGATTTATATTCGTCGATCGATCGAATATCACGACGAAGAGTCGTCCACTTTCGTCCATTTCGAACCGCGATCACAAAACGAACGAATCGTCTCAATTACGACTTTTTATCCGGATTTGGATTTCTGATCGGACTGCATTCGTGCAAACTTGACGACGTCGGTGACATCAAGTATACGTGTCGTGCGGCGTTCTTAAAGGAAAATAAATGACGTACTATGATCGCCTCGAATTTTGCACGTAACCGATTTGAATGAATTTCCACACAGTCGTAAAAATTGCCAGGCTTGTTTCTGACGTACTGAAATTGCAAGATTGTTCCCACAGCGTGAAATAAAAATATTTGTTTCGAGAAATTTATACGTCTTCAGTCGGATATATTTTTCATGAGGAAATTCTATTCCCTATAAAATAATGTGTATGTAAAGTATTTCTCTTAATATGAAATCCTATGGTAAAAGGAAAAGATTAAATTATAATTTATAATTAAAGGTCATATGTAAAACTATCGGTTAAACTGTAGTTGTAAGCTTTTGCGCAAAGTCTGATGCTCGTAAATTTAATGAAATTCTGTAACTCAATGTAAAATAATTTTATGTTATGATTAGTATTGCGCGCGCACAAAGCGATAACCGTTAATAGCCATAGTAATTGTCCATTCTGCGTATTATTAATACAACTTAATTACTAGCAAGCAATCTGTGGTATGTATTCTCAACAATTCCAATCGGATGGGACGTGTAATAGTCCTGAATTCACAGAGTGCTATGAAAGCCCGAGCGCTTTGCGCCCGAATTGCATCGGTTACGCTAAGTTTGTCGCGTTACGTGGGTCGACATGAAGTTCTTGTTAAATTACTCCCGCTTGTGCGATTCCGAAATACGTACATATATGTATATATATATACATACATATATATATAAAAATCAATTAGTTACGAAATATATATATATATATCTACACGCACATATACACGTACAACATTGTATATCCTTCAAAGTGAAAATTTCCTGCCGGGCGTTTGCTTTAAACATCACTGAATATTTATGATCTCAATCTCTTTTCAGCCTACGGTAAAACGAGGTTTACCTCCGTAATAGCGATGGGATGTGCGTATCCGCGATGACTTTAATAACTAGTTAGCGGATTAATTACGTCACTTTGTCAACGTTAATTTACCTATTAAGCACTTATTGGTGGAATGACATATCACGGGCGAGCGACACGATTATTCATTATGCTAATTGCTGCGCAACGTTGCTATAGATAAATCTTACTCGGTTTTTCTGATCGCTTAAATCTTACCGTGACATTTTAACATTTATCTTTATTCTCGTGACGTAAAAAAACCAATCTGTTTCGCAGCTATTCGAAGAATCATATCGGAATCTCGGTGTAATTTAAATGTGAAATCTCATTATCGTGTATCCCCAAAAAAAAACTTAGATTTATATTCCAAAAAAAAAATCAGAAAATCTAGGAAGATTAAAGCTTCACGCTGTGCGGTCAAAGGGCAACATGCAAATTGCGGATGTTAAAATAGTAAGAAAAAGTAAGTTATGCAGTGAATGCGAGCGAAAGGGTAGTGAAGGGAAAGGTGGCAATGGAAAATCGTCGTTCCGGCGAGATTAAAGCTGTCTTACCTGTCGTCAGAGAAGAGCAGAATAGCACCGACAGTAGTACGAACTGCATTTTAGTCAGACACTTGCCGCACCTGGAGCACGATTCGTCGCCGAGTGAAGTGGCGCTCCAATTCTTCGTCAGCACCCTCGAGTACTTCATCGTTCACTTGACATTTGTGCACGGGGAAAGAGAGGGGAGGATAATCGTGGTCGTTTGTACCGTTGAGGAAAAAAAAAGTGAGTTAGAATCTGCACCTCAGAATTTGCACCGACGGAAATTTTCACTTTAATCGCGTCCACAATGTCCTTTGATTTCCGCATTCAAAGAGATACGATAATGCCACGTGCTTTTTCGAGAAAATCGTCAGTAATGTCCGAATTTGAATTTTCGTTGATGAATCGATCGAACGAACGAAATTTCTTCGCATTCGTCGTTTTATTCTCGCGCAACGGTTTCACCCGCGTTTTCAGATCTTCGCGGAAATATTCTTCGCGTAGCTAAGTACTTTTTAAAACAATACAGAATACCGATAGCGTCGTTTGGCATAAAAAAAATTCCATCTCGCGATCTTAGATTTAACGGAACGCTAGGAATTTTTCGCTGTTCTTGCCGTGATTTACTTCTTCACGATTTTAATCTTTACTTCTTACTCTTTTTGAGAAAAAATCGTAAATACCAGTTGGCCGCGATAGCAGATAGAAAATAGTTGTTATATTACTTGCGAGTTTCATTAAAATTAAATTATCACACTAGACTTCTTGTCTAACGTTCTCGCAATTTATTTGATCAACGAAGAAATTCTCTCGATTTCTCACCAAGAGATTGTTTTTCGACGCCGCCACGTGTTCTTGAAAAGAAACCACAGCAATAACCGCACTCAGCTTTCGTATATCAAAGCGAAAGCAATTTCGCTATTACTCCAGCTTACTTCGGTCATTCCGCAAGGGTCTTCTCGAGCTTAACGATCCTTCCTTTTATCGTTAGTTGTTGGATGACGAGCGCTGTTTCCGCCGTAAACGTTGTCCCATAATGTTTTTCGTCCTCCGCAACTTGCTTTGGGCTTTCCCTTGGGCGCGTTCACGAACTTTTTACGCGAAGACTCGGGGCGCGTCTTCTTTGTCCCTTTTTTTTTTGCGTGCGACGTTACCCAGGTGTGCGCTACACTACGGAGCATACATATATATCTCCGTCAAAGGAATCACTCCCTCACGACACTCGTCGTTCCCTTTTACATCGCTGAATGTCCTATCTTCGCGATGAACGGATTAACGCTATTCTCTCTGTCTTCTTCGATGTGCATTAATTAACGCGGAATAATTACTCATCGAAGAGAGAAGCGTTTCGAAAAGTCGGTTTTTGCATCGAATTGTCTTAATCTCTTTTTTCAAAGTCGAGCTCAAAATGATAACAAACGAGATATTTTCCCTCACCGATGGTCTTTCATCGTTGATTAACCGGCTCCTTCGTCGGCCGCGGCTCGTTAGTTATATCAAAGCGAAAGCCTTCGCGCGAAGATGCGGCACGAAACTTCTCGCAAATTTCACCCAGCTTCCGCAATCATCCTTCGATGTGCATCCGGATCCTTTTTTTATCTTTGTTTTCTTGTTATATGATGAGAGGAAGAAAATGAATCGTCCGATATCAGCGATCGTAAATTTTCGTTTGTAATAATTTCGTGGTTTAATGAATTTTGCGTGATTTTTTTCAGCGGCGTGATTTTTTTTCACAGGTCAAAATTCCTCCTGATATTTGCGAATTTTTGCAGGAATTCGCGGATGAAGCGTCCCGGGTGCGAATTCGAACGCGATGCAACACCCCCACGTGACACTTTCGCCTCTAGTCACGTGTTGCGATCGCGATTGTTCACCTCTATCTGTCTTTGTCGCGATATAATCCTTTTGCAAACGCAACTCTTTGCATCACATTTAATTATCGTTTTTTAAAACTTACAACGAGCACATCTTTCGAGTTCGTCACTATATCCTTTCACCAGTGGATTTTATTATTACGTATCTTTGCGAACACACTGTCACTCTCAAACACACACGCTTCATCGATTTCGTCGATGATTTGAATTAAATCTCTCGGCTTAACGAATAAATCTGATCAAACTCTATCCTTACATTTTACATTATGTTAGCGCACTTTTTTACAACAATCTCTTTTTGGAGACGATTTTTTATTAAAAAAGAAAAGTTTTATCCAAATATGATATGTCACAATATTCCGATTATGTTTACTCTTCTCCACACTAAGAATTTGAGAGGAATAAATTACTTCTTATAAACATACATGATGTCGCGGATTCGCATGCGGATGAGCTTCGGCATTATTACAAGTATCCCCGAGAACCTTTACCATCGGTAGTTCGTAGTTGACAGAAACCCTTGGCGGGAGCGATACGACGAATAAGGTGCCACTCCTACCCGCGCATGCTCCACCACCACTCTTCGAATCGTGATCCCCCCCTCCTGCTGCTTATTTTCTCCTTTCCTGCTCGTCGTGCTTTCCCCCTGCTTTCCCCCTTCCTACTTTCGCATGATCCCCCTATTTACTGCGTTTTCAAATCATTTTCCCTCTCTCTCTCTCTCTCTCTCTCCCTCTCTTCTCCTTTCTGCTAAACTTTCCTCCTCTTTGGTGTTCTCTCTTTTCCTCTTAGTCCTATCACCGCGTAACCGCACGTGGTCTTCGTCGGAATGGGGTGATCTATAAACCAATTAATTCGGGTAATAAACTCGGCCAAAGGGCGACCTATTCGGACCCCCGCCTATCCGGAGAACACACCGCTGAATCCTTTTAGCGACTTGTCTTCGACTTGACTCGCCTTTGTTCAATGTAGCAAATCAACTCGTTATATTGAAAGTTGTTTCTGTCTCGCTTGTTGAATAGGCTTAACTCTTTAGCCACGTATGGTGTGTCAGAAGAGTCCGCTCTGTCAGAACGAAACAATGGATTTACGAGATTACGCGGATTTCCTATGTCTCTCTTTTTGTATTTTCACATCCAATTAATATAATATAAAAACTCACTCGCTTTTGCGGTTTTATATCGAAGAATGTTATACAACGTAGTGGTCCATAACAATCCTTAGAATTAGTAAATTACATTTTCGGAATCTTTATAAAAGCTTCATGGACTTTGAATGAGAGAAATGTGTTATTACATTAGACAATATTGGTATAATATAATATATAATATATACATATATATATCAATAAATAATTTATATAAATAATATATCAATAATAATTAACTTTTCTTACACATATATATATATTTCTCCGTTATTTTCTTTTTTATTAAATTAAAGAATAGAATAACAAAAAAATATATATATATATTTCTCTGTTTTATTTTTTATTAAATTAATCTTGATAAACGAGAATTTGTTATTTTGTTTCCATTTCAATATTATACTAATATTGTTTAATGTAATAACACATTTCTCTCATTCAAAGTTCATGAAGCTTTTATATATATATAAATTATATACAGGGTAAGGCATTTAAATTGACACATCTAAATATTATAAAAACAAAGCATTTTATTAAAAAATGTTTCAGACAAAAGTATTATGATAAGATTATCGAAAACATTTTTTTATAGAATGCTGTGTTTTTATGATATTTAAATGTCAATTTAATTATCGCACTCTGTGTGTATATATATATATATATATATATATATATATATATATATAATATGTGTGTGTATATGTGTATCGTGTTTTGTTTCTCTGTGTTGAGCAGCATGCACGAATGATCGATTAATCCGAGATCTCAGATCTAACATAAATACAATATGCATTATTCCAGTCTCTCTCTGTTCTGTTTACAATTTTAATTTACTATATTCGGAGTACATGCACCCGCGGGGGTCAACAATAAGGCAGTGAGATGTTAACGAATCATCAGTCTCTAAACGAGGGAAATTATATAGCGTATAAAACAAAAATATTATCGGTAATATCTACTTCGTTGTGTGATCTGTGCTACGATATTATTCTCGTCATTGCTATTGGTATCCTCTATTGGTTCAATAGTCTCACTACTAGAAGATCTCGTTATCGAAACTTCGCAGTTTTTTTTTCTTAGGGTGAATAGTGCAAAGCA